CAGTCGATGATGACGGAATCGACGTTCCATCGCCTGATTATGACGAGGTACGAATAGCAATAACGCGGCTGAAAAACAACAACGCTGCTGGAGCTGACAGCCTGCCAGCTGAGCTATTCAAGTACGGCGGCGAGGAGTTGATAAGGTGCATGCATCAACTCTTGTGCAGAATATGGTCAGATGAACGCATGCCCGACGACTGGAATTTAAGTGTGCTCTGCCCAATCCACAAGAAAGGTGACCCCGCCATTCGCGCCANTCAGATGAACGCATGCCCGACGATTGGAATTAAAGTGTGCTCTGTCCAATCCACAAGAAAGGTGACCCCGCCGAAAGGTGATCAGCCTTCTAAGGATAGGGTACAAGGTCTTATCGAGCGTATTGTGTGAAAGACTGAAGCCCACCGTCAATGAACTGATTGGGCCTTATCAGTGTGGATTTAGACCTGGAAAATCCACCATTGACCAGGTATTAATACGAAAAATCTTGGAAAAGACCCGCGAGAAAAGGATCGACGCTCACCACCTATTTGTCGACTTTAAAGCCGCTTTTGACAGCACTAAAAGGAGTTGCCTATACGCCGCTATGTCTGAATTTGGCATCCCCTCAAAACTCATACGGCTGTGTAAAATGACGTTGAGCAATACCACCAGCTCCGTCAGAATTGAGAAATACCTCTCCGAGCCGTTCGCCACTAAACGGGGTTTCAGACAGGGCTTCTTCTNTCGGCTGTGTAAAATGGCGTTGAGCAATCCCACCAGCTCCGTCAGAATTGAGAAATCCCTCTCCGAGCCGTTCGCCACTAAACGGGGTTTCAGACAGGGCTTCTTCTTCTGACTTCTTTAATCTGATGTTGGAGAAGATAACAAGAGCTGCAGAACTGAACCGCTCAGGAACAATTTACGACAAGAGCGTGCAATTGCTGGCTTATGGCGATGACATCGATATCATAATATTTTAACATATTTATTTAAGAAATGAGGCTGGCTCTATAAGACTTTTGAGCCTTTTATAATACATCAACACCAGGTTGTAAACTTCAATGTTTGTACAAAGTAAACTTAAAACTAAAAATATATCAAATAGCAACAAAAATGTTAATATTTGTATTTTTAATTAAAATTAAAATTAGGACTTAAAACTTAAGGCTAGATATAATAAAAGGTCAGACATATAAATACGAACATGCAAAATTTGGTTAAATAGTAGAAGTGACAGAGACAGAGAAATGATAACAGTTTAATCGCAACCACATTCATTGTGCAGATTTAAAGTAATTATGCAATACATTTTTGAAATCACTCCGGTTTATCGCTGCTTTTACGGATTCATGAATTGAGTTACAGAGCCTTACAGCATTAAGAGAGCAGCCTAGCTGAAGACAAGTAGGAATATTTGGGGATAATCAGACTATGATTCCGATTAGATCTTGTTGATTTTTTCAAAAAGGTATTTTTGAGTTTTGAATTCTATAAGCTTATACATAAATATACAATTTCTAGCCGATAGGTATTCAAAAATGCAGCATCCTAGAAGAACAGCTCAACATAGAATTAACAACACCCGAGCCAACAAGTGTAGATGTGGAGGAGCCAGTCTTGCACATTACCTTTTGAGTTCTTCCTGCAAGGTTGCTGATCATAAGCTATCAGAAAAACCAAAGTGGTGATTAAGTTATTTGCAAAGCAGGTCATGATTCACCAAGTCAAATGCCTTAGAAAAATCCAGAAGGCAAAGAAGAGATAGGTCACCATTGTCAAACTGTATCCGTATATCGTCAAGTATTTTCAACATAGCCGTAGAGCAGCTATGACATGGTCTAAACCCTGACTGCAATGGCGATAATAAATTATAATTTTTTGTACAAATGAGGAAATTTGCCCTGCCATCAACGATTCGCACACTTTTGAGAATGCTGGTAAAATGCTTAAAGGTCTGTAGTCTCTAGGATTAGTAGCAGCGCTCTTTTTGGGCTACAGGAATAATGGCAGCCTTTTTCCATTCTGTTGGAAAACATGAAGTTGTGAAACAGTGGTTAATGACATGTGTTAGAGTTCTCAGAATAAAAGGCAGCACAAGTTTCACAAACTTCAAAGATATCGCATCCTCTCCAATGGCTTTAGACTCGAACCCCATCACAGATTTCAAAACTTCTGATTCACTTACTCCGTCAAATCGAAACTCTTCTTTTAAAGCAAAATTGCTAGTGAAAATTTCAGTTGGAGCACTTTTGCTGTTTCTGCTGACACTAATAAAATAGTCATTGAGTGTGTTTGGGTCAATTTTACAATCAGACTTAGGTTTTTCATGCACATTTAGGTATTTCAAATTGCGCCATAAATCTTATGATAGTGACGGGTTCAATTTATAACTAAAGTACAACGCTTTGCATTTCTTGTAATGACAGTAGCTTTATTTCTTGCAGCCTTGTATTGTGACCAAGCAACGTCAGAGTTGGTTCTTCTCCATTTTGCATACAATTTATTTATAGTTTTTATAGCTGAGCTGACCTTATTAGTGTACCAAGGACAGGAGGTATTCATAGCCCTAACAATGCGGACAGGGACATGATCCTCAAATAATTCAGAGAGGGTTTTATTTAAAAAGTCAAGTCAACAGCTATCCCAGTTAACATTTGACAAATCAACGAACAGATCAGTAACATACCTCAGATCACGATACATGAAAATAACACTATCAGCAGGACAATTCAACGACACATCTAATGCACAAAATATTAGGTCATGCTCAGAGACAAAAAAACATTTGGTCAAATTTAAGAATATGGTCAAGATTAGACGTAATAACCAGGTGTAGCAAGCTAAGTTTCGAATTGTTGGCGTACGTTGTTGGTAAGAACTGGGTGACTACAGCAAGACCAGCAGCGGATACGTGGTCAAGTATTTAGTTTAATAGCATACAAGTCGTTTAACAGCAGGTTAACATTAAAATCATCACATATAACATAATATTCATATTCAATTAAAAAAACTGATAACAAAAAACGAATCTAACATACAACACCTATGAGGATTATACATACACACAGGACACTAGTACTTTTGTTATACCGTCTGAAATTTCAGAAATAATAAATTCCGTTTCAGGGTTATTCGTTTTAGCTAGAAGTTTAATTTTTAAGGTAGATCTGTAATATATTGCAACACCTACCCCTCTTTTTGTTGTTCGATCGTTACGTATAAGAGTATAGTGTGGGATTCCATAATAATAGTCAGGAATGTTAGCATTGAACCATGTTTCTGTGACACAGATAACATCAACGCCCGATCCCCCAAAGACATTCCTAACGTAGTCCATTTTGTCACCGTTAAGGCTTCGCGCATTAAAATGCACAATTTTGAGGCAACTAGACTGTTTGCACAAAATACTTACTAAAATTTTATGGTTTTCATCAATGCTGCCGGCAGATTTGCTATTGGTTTAAATCCATCAGCTGAAAAATGAGTAACCACAAAGCGTAGGCAAAACAAAAAGACTTCAAAACATAAATGTATGTGATTGCAAAAAATCAACGTAAGCAAGAGAACAGAGCAAATTGAGAACAAGCGAAAATAACATACACTTTGATAGACCGAAATCAAGGAAACAAAGAAAAATTGTTTAAAGCATAGAAATAAAACAGTAAACAAATAACTAATCAAGAGTATTTGGCATAGGAAGAAAGAGAACAAGCATACAACTAACTTAACTTCTAAGCTGGCGTAATCATAACCACAATAAAAAATACGATTTTAAAACGAACATATACATAATTATTTTTGCATTGTGCTAATAAGAGCGTTAACCTCGGCCCTGCTTCTCACCGCCTAAGCTACGACGCATACGACATCACTTCACGCAGCATTTTAGGCAAACTCTCATGTAGAAAAACTGATCCATAACCAGGCAATCCAGCATCGGAGAGCGCTAGGGATCTCTTTTTGGTTTTACAGAACACAGCAATAGATTTTAAGAGCTAATTGTGACCATGTGCAGAGAACAGCTTAACAACAATAGGGCAGTTGTTGCTGCTTTTCTGCCCATTACTTTTTGCACTACGCAGCCGAAAAGCATCACGCAAAGGCGGAGGTTTATGCTGAGCTGCACCGCAGACCTTAGCGTATTAGAGTATTTCTATATCGGCACTTGCTGCAGAGTCCCATAAATAAAATTAAATGTCAGAACACAATGATTATCCTTTCGTTTAGTTAAAAGCTATTTAACGCGCAAATGACAAGAGGATTGAAATAGCCAGAAAATATTACTAGAATATTACACAAGCTTTTTTAAAAAATTACCTAAGGGAGTATGGTTGACTTATAAGAATCTTTTGGGCGTAGAACTAAGAAATGTGCTGGGCTGAAGACCTACAGGTGGAAAAAGTTCCAGATAAAAGCTGTTAAGAACAAGACCACAAAAGATCTAGTTAAACTGCTGAAAAGAACTTGTTTGAGAAATTCGTTTCCTGCACAATGGATTACGAGACGTAAAAAAGTGATGAAATTTCTAAGGAAATTCCTTCTTGCCCGGTCGTCCAAGACTTTAAAAGAAAGTGATATTCAGCAGCTGTGTGGGTGTCAAACACTCCTTTTTATAAAAATAAGAGTTATTGTTTTCTACTATTTTATATGAATTTGTTAATTCTAAAAATAAAATACTTTAGCAAGGCGAATTCATATAAGTAAGGTGATAGCGGCAGCACAAAAACAAAATTTACCCGAACAAATTATACGCATAGTGACAATCAGAACACGAACAAATGTACAACAAACACATCGTTTTAACAATGAGTACAATTCGCCTTGAAATCAGCCGTTCTAGTAACACCACCTTATATGAATTCGCCTTGTGCTTTAGTTTTTGAAAATCTACAAATATTTCAAAACATATCAGTTTTGTTGTGGACAATTATATTCCGCCCAGTCCCTTTTCCAGAACACAGTTATGATGTGCCTCAAAATAGCTTTTCGCATTTCTAAGAAATATCTTATATTTTTTAGACGATGATGACTATATTCGATCGGGTTTTATTACATTGCAACACTTAATCGATAAGGCATTCATAACAATTCATAACCCGGGCACCACCATTAACTTCGACTTCGAAATCGCTTCGATGCCTATGATTGCACAAGAGACAATAGATTCACAACGTATTATTTGGTTTGGTTCATTGTACTCAATTCTATTCAATGTTTTATTGCTCAGCACGTTCCTTGTACCCCTCGTGGAAGAAAAACAAAACGGAATTAAGGTAAGGAGCATCATAGTAAATATTTAAAATTAGATTATTAAATTTGCGATTTCCTTTATTTTCCATAAATTGACCATTCAAGGAATTCTTAGCCATAGCAACACCCATGAATTTTTTAAATGGTTTTGGTTTTTTCGTGATTAGATTATTGCTGTATGCACTATTTACAACAGTCGTCCTTATCGCCGGTGGGATTTATCAGGCTTTCAGTGTGACTGTCCCAATCGGATACATAATTATGCTTTTTACTCTATATATCCTTTCAGCCATGTCTTACACGTATTTAATAACTGTATTTTTCCACTCAGGTGAGTTTGCGCCTAAATTTGGACTAATAAATTTAGATCATATCTTCATTCATTCATTCCTTATAGTATTTCATGCTAAAGTCGGCGGACTCTTACTGCTGGTTATGCCGTACATTTTGTATTTTTCAAAAGGAGGAGTTTCAACTCTAGCAAATATTTTTAGCACAAAAACTTTCATGGAGGGCATTAAAAATTTTCAAATTTTCACTAACAAATGTAAATTGTTTTTAAATTCCGAACTAGTATATAATAATCTTGTTTTAGATCGCGAAGTTAATCAAAAAGTGCTTCATATATACATAACGGAATCATCATTCACAGTAATGACGGTTTATAGCATTTTAATTGGCCAGTGCTTAATTTATGCTTTACTATATAACTACTTGTCGTATATTTTTCCTGGACCAGGAAGTTTGAAAAAATCATACCTCTTTCCCATCATGGCAAGTTTATTAAATTTGTTTGCATGAATACCAATAAATTATAATATTTTTACTTTTAGTCACTGTGGAAGAGAAATAAACCTAGCACCGAGTATACGACTAGTAAAATCGGAACAAATGCTATAATAATTCAAGATCTTAAAAAAGTGTTTAAAAACCCAAGGCGGATAATATCTGACGGTTTGAATATGGCGATTAAGAACAAACAAATAACTGTCCTTCTTGGGCATAACGGAGTAGGCAAAACTACGACTCTGAACATGATAATGGGTAAGTTTTACTTACGTATAAAAACTATACATATACATATATTCAGGGCCTTAGAGAGGAAATCCGGGCTCGGGTGAATTTAGAATGTGGGCCCCTACCACCCTCATGGACAATTTATTTTTCCTGATGTAAAACTTAGATGAGAAAATTAATAATAAGAATATCGTAGTATACTGCCGTGCAAAGTAAGAAAGTGTTAACTAAGTACATAGGAAGCCCATTGCAATTACGGATTGTATAATTTCAACGGCGCACAGTGGCAGGAGGGGCCATGTTTTACGTGAAAAAGGCATATTTGGAAACTGTGATAAATCAACGGGAATAAAGCTATCTATCTATTATATATAATACGCGAAGGCATTTTTTGTGCAGCCTAAAACATCTGCCGTTCGCTCGATTTTCAAAATTGGGGTGTCAAATTAAAGCGCTTGGCCTGTAGATGTGCAGCAAGGTTTTATTTTTTCGAAAAGAGTTGCCACCTGTTAAATAATTAAACTCAAGTTATTTGCTAATCAATGCCCTCAGATCCGTATTGTCCGTTTGATTTTCAAAAGTGAGGTACCAAATTAAAGGGCTTAGAGTGTGGATGTTCAAAAAGGTTTTACCTTTTCGAAAAACGTTGCCACCTGTTAAGAAATTCAGTTCAAAATAATACGCGAAGGCATTTTTTGTTCCTCATAAAAGATCTGCACCGTTCGCTCGATTTTCAAAAGTGGGGTGCAAAATTAAAGCGCTTGGCCTGTAGATGTGCAATAAAGCTTTATTTTTTCGAAAGGAGTTGCCACCTGATAAAAAATTGCATTCAAATAATTTAATAATCAATGTCATTAGATCCACACCATTCGTTCGATTTTCAAAAGTGAGGTGCCAAATCAAAGGGCTCTGAAAGTAGGTGTGCAATAAGGTTTGACTTTTTCGAAAAGAGTTGCCACCATTTAAAAAATTTAAGTTCAAATTATTTTCAAAGCTAAACCAATTATTAAAAAATGGGCATAAATGGAAATAGTTTTGAAAATGTTTGTTTCTTAACTTAACTTTATGAGGGTTGCCACCTGTTAAAAAAATCAAATTCAGTTTCAGTTGGGGGAATTAGGTAATAGAAATATGTATTTGTGCCAGACGGTAAAGGTTAAGTATGTAGTAGTTTGTAAACATTTTGAAGAGGGTTGACACCTGTGTGAAAAGTCTAATTTATATGAAGTATAAAAATATGGACGTCAAGTGAATGAATCTTAAGAGATCTTTAGTTGGAACGTTTAGAATATTTTTAAAGTGTTTGAAGAGGGCTGCCACCTGTTTAAAAATCAAGTAAAATTTTTAAAAAGTTAAATCAATATTTGCTAATTGGGTACCAATCGCAGTAGTTTTGAAAATACTTTATTTCTTAACTGCGTGTAGGAGGGTTGCCACCTGTTTAAACAATCAAATTCAATTTGAATTAAGGCAATGGGGTAATTAAAATAGGTATAACAATATGGGTGTCAGACGAAAGAGATTTAAGAAGATTTTAGATTGAACATATTTTTAATAGGGTTGCCACCTGTTCGAAAAGTCTAGTTTAATTCAATTATCGATATAAAACAAAAAAGTGTTACGAAATCTTAGTTTGCACATTGATAATATATTTTATGAGTTTGAGGAGGGTTGCCACCTGTGTAAAAAGTAAAATCCAAATTATCTATTATATATAATACGCGAAGGCATTTTTTGTCCAGCCTAAAAGATCTGCACCGTTCGTTCGATTTTATTTTTTCGAAAAGAGTTGCCACCTGAGAAAAAATTGCATTCAAATAATTTAATAATCAATGCCATCAGATCCACACCGTTTGGGCTTAGGGTGTGGATGTTCAAGAAGGTTTTACTTTTTCGAAAAAAGTTGCCACCTGTTAAGAAATTAAGCTCAAATTAATTAAAATGTTAAGTCAATTATTAAATATGGGTATCAATCGAAATGGTTTTGAAAAGGCTTTATAGCTTAACTACGTATAGGAGGGTTGCCCAATGTTAAAAAAAGGTAATTCAATTTTAATTAAAGGAATTTGGTAACTGAATAAGGTATCGCTATATGGGTGTCATGCAAAAGAGGTTTAAGAAGGTAGTAGTTTAAAAATATTTTGAATAGGATGGCCACCTTTATGAAATATTAACGATGGATGTCAAATGAAAGAGCTTCAAGAAATACTTTATTTGACAATTTAGAACATTNCACCGTTCGCTCGATTTTCAAAAGTGGGGTGCAAAATTAAAGCGCTTGGCCTGTAGATGTGCAATAAAGCTTTATTTTTTCGAAAGGAGTTGCCACCTGATAAAAAATTGCATTCAAATAATTTAATAATCAATGTCATTAGATCCACACCATTCGTTCGATTTTCAAAAGTGAGGTGCCAAATCAAAGGGCTCTGAAAGTAGGTGTGCAATAAGGTTTGACTTTTTCGAAAAGAGTTGCCACCATTTAAAAAATTTAAGTTCAAATTATTTTCAAAGCTAAACCAATTATTAAAAAATGGGCATAAATGGAAATAGTTTTGAAAATGTTTGTTTCTTAACTTAACTTTATGAGGGTTGCCACCTGTTAAAAAAATCAAATTCAGTTTCAGTTGGGGGAATTAGGTAATAGAAATATGTATTTGTGCCAGACGGTAAAGGTTAAGTATGTAGTAGTTTGTAAACATTTTGAAGAGGGTTGACACCTGTGTGAAAAGTCTAATTTATATGAAGTATAAAAATATGGACGTCAAGTGAATGAATCTTAAGAGATCTTTAGTTGGAACGTTTAGAATATTTTTAAAGTGTTTGAAGAGGGCTGCCACCTGTTTAAAAATCAAGTAAAATTTTTAAAAAGTTAAATCAATATTTGCTAATTGGGTACCAATCGCAGTAGTTTTGAAAATACTTTATTTCTTAACTGCGTGTAGGAGGGTTGCCACCTGTTTAAACAATCAAATTCAATTTGAATTAAGGCAATGGGGTAATTAAAATAGGTATAACAATATGGGTGTCAGACGAAAGAGATTTAAGAAGATTTTAGATTGAACATATTTTTAATAGGGTTGCCACCTGTTCGAAAAGTCTAGTTTAATTCAATTATCGATATAAAACAAAAAAGTGTTACGAAATCTTAGTTTGCACATTGATAATATATTTTATGAGTTTGAGGAGGGTTGCCACCTGTGTAAAAAGTAAAATCCAAATTATCTATTATATATAATACGCGAAGGCATTTTTTGTCCAGCCTAAAAGATCTGCACCGTTCGTTCGATTTTATTTTTTCGAAAAGAGTTGCCACCTGAGAAAAAATTGCATTCAAATAATTTAATAATCAATGCCATCAGATCCACACCGTTTGGGCTTAGGGTGTGGATGTTCAAGAAGGTTTTACTTTTTCGAAAAAAGTTGCCACCTGTTAAGAAATTAAGCTCAAATTAATTAAAATGTTAAGTCAATTATTAAATATGGGTATCAATCGAAATGGTTTTGAAAAGGCTTTATAGCTTAACTACGTATAGGAGGGTTGCCCAATGTTAAAAAAAGGTAATTCAATTTTAATTAAAGGAATTTGGTAACTGAATAAGGTATCGCTATATGGGTGTCATGCAAAAGAGGTTTAAGAAGGTAGTAGTTTAAAAATATTTTGAATAGGATGGCCACCTTTATGAAATATTAACGATGGATGTCAAATGAAAGAGCTTCAAGAAATACTTTATTTGACAATTTAGAACATTTTTGATGTCTTTGAGGGTTGCCCCAGTTTAAATGGCTAAACTAAAATTACTTAATAAGTTAAATGAGTTACTAACCGATGGTTATAAATGGAAATGGGTTTAAAATCCTTTACTGCAGAACTATATTGAGGAGGATTCCAACGTGTTTAAAAATAAATTTCCACTTAATTCATCAGTTATATGAAATTTTAGTTTGAAAATAATTTTTAAGATGGTTGCCGCCTATTTTGAAAGTGGTATTTCGTTTAACTATACATAAGTTACATGAAATTTCAAAATAGGGTTATCAAAAGAACGAGTGTTAAGAAATCTTTAAGCTGAACATTATTTGTTTTTTTTTTTTTAAATTAAGCTCAAATTATTAAATAAGTTAAATGGATTGTCAAAAGATGGGTATCAATCGAAATGGGTTTAAAAATAATTTATTTCCAAACTGTATTTAGGAGAGTTGCCATGTGCTTAAAAAATTCAGTTCAACTTAATTCATCAGTTAATTGAAATTTGTGTAACAATGCCAGGCGAAAAATTTTAGTTTGAAAATACTTTTAAAGGGGTTGCCACCTGTTCGAAAAGTCGAATTTGTTTTACTTATACGAAAGAAACATAAATGCAATATCGAAATATTAGTGTCAAACGAATGAGTTTTAAGAAAACTATATGCTGATAATATTTTTAAAAAGAGTTGCCATCTATTTTTTTTTTTAAGGTCATTACATCTGCACCGTTATTTCGAATTTCCAAAATGAGAAGTCAAACAAAAGAACTAGGATTCTACATAGATGTGCACAGGTTTTATTTTTTTAAGTTACAGGAAGATTTGATTAATTATTAGGAATATTGTTACAGGTTTTTGAATAGGGTTTTTCCTGTTTAAAAAATTTAATTAAACGCTGGCGTTTTGACGACATGTGGGTTCTGGGTGGGTTATTCAGAAATGTCCAACGAACTCAAGACTGATTAGCATTTGCAATAATATCTGCAGAGAAAGCCGTTGAATCCATTTAATTAAACGAATTCGATCGTGGCACGTTCTAACAGTTAGGTAGGTAGAGGTTGCTGCCGCCTTAGCGTGACACTTAGGCCATAGATAGAAGGCCCATTGTGTTACCACAGTTGACACCGTTCAATTATCCTCCCTATTCAACCACTTCGTGTCGCTTATGAATCTCATCAGTCACCTCGCATCGGTATTTGAAACGTCTCTATGGTTGGCCAGGAACGTTGAACCCAGATGACGCAGCCTGCCTCGGCACATTGCAGGGCATTTACACAAGAGAT